TGCTGAACCTGCCTGCACTCCTCTTCCACCCGCATCAGCAGCCGCTGGATCTCACGGTTGTTGGGACACAGCTTGATGGCCTCGTTCAGGTCCTCCAGGGCTGCTGAAAACTGCCTGCTTGACAAAGGGACAGAAACGAGAGCTGAAATTACTCTGGGTTAGAACGGAGCCGCGCTCGGAGGCTCCTGGGGGTTAAGTGGCTTCGCCGCGTTACTGCGGGAGATGTCTGATTGCTACCGCTCGCTGCGGCTCTCAAGCTCTGCCTTATCTGCCTCCTCTGCATCTATTTTATCCAAACTGAAGGAAAATACTGCCAGCCATTCTGGAGAAAAGGGGAACGCAGTCCTCAGATGGCTCAATCCAGCCTAGCGAAACCGCCTGTCCTCTGCTGTGCGTGTCACAGGCTAATTAATGAATTACTCCTCACAGCACCGCCATGAGCTTTGCCCCTGCGTTAGCAAAGGGGACCCCAAAGCATAGATAACCAAGAGCCAAGCTCACCACTGCTGTAAACAAGTTGAGCTTTGGTGCTGTTGCAATCGCTCACACCAGTGAAAATTTAACTTCTGTCTGAGGCCACGGCTCCAGAGCTCAGGGGGTCCCATGGGTCAGCGCCTGTCTCCTCAGTTTTGCAATGGCTTTGGCCAACTCCTTCAGAAGGAAGGAACTGAGCAACATTAGGGAGCCTGTGAGCCCTCTGGGGAAGCCTTTGCAAGGGCAGGGGCAACCTGTGAGGAGTAAAAGGGAGGTGCGGGCTCAGGGAAGGGGGCTGTCATTTACAGGGACACTGTTGGCTTTGGAGTAAAACCATCTGTTTGAACACAACTGTCATCTGGGGGATGATGACAGCAAAAAACTCCCCAGGACCTCCCAATGCCAGCCTAAGCTTTTACACAAGCCATTGGAAACCAGTTGGGGGAAGGGAAAGCCTCCTGTCCCCTGGGCCGTGCTGGCCTCGGGGTGCTGCTGGGCAAAGAGAAGAAAAGCCCAAGTGGTGACAGTTTGCACTGGAGAAACCTGGGGAGAAAAGGACGCTTGTACGTGGGGAGGCTGATAGCATCTGGGAAGGAACCCTGTTCTTGCACTTCCTTACAAGCGTTTTGGAAACAATGCAGAGGAAAACCATTAAAGGAAAGGCATTTGGCCAGCGGGGCTCAGCCTGTGGGACTTCTCTGCAGCACAGAAGGTCACGGCTTCATCTCCCACATCAACACTGGCCAGGCCAGGAGCCCCCTTCCACACACGGCCTCCAGCACTGAAGGTCAAGTGGTGGTGGTGGCCGCTGAGCTATGATGCTTGCCCAGGTGGACTCTATACACACCTCTGGCTACTGGTCCTAATCTGCACTGCCCCCCAAGGCATTTTGGCTGCTTTTAAAACCACGATGACCATGCCTGGCCCTTGAGCTGGTGGCAGCGCTGGGAGCACAAGCTCTGACTGAAAGCTGGTGCTTGCCTGCACAACCCCTGTGCAGCTACGCAGCAGCTTCTGCCTTGCAAAAAGCGCTGCAGGACAGAGAGATTCACAGATTTTTAAGGCCAGAAGAGCTCACCGAGATGAATGGGGCTGCCACAAGTCAAATTTTGCTTCAAGTCCAAGTTGTGGTTGAACTGAAGTGTATTTTTACAACTTCAACACCCAACTTTGGTGTAAAGGTTTCCAATGCAGTAAGACGTCCAGACAAAGCTCAAATAAGGCAAACTCCTCCAAGTGTTTGTGTCCAGCTGTCTCCAGAAGTTACCAAATGAGGGAGGGTGTTACCCTGGAGTTTGGGATGTCTGTAATGTCATTAACAGATGTTCCTTTGCCGTTTCTCCCCATGGGGACACCGGTAGGGCTTTGCACGGTGGATACCCACATCGGTGAGGCCAGGCTCGATGAGACCAGCCCCTCACACTCTGCTCCCTCTCCTCACCTGCTGCTGCGTTTGGCCCTTGCTCTTGCATAGTAAGCTTCGTAAGATTTCGGTTTCAGCTCCAGTGCTTTAGTAGCAAACTCCTCCGCCATTCCGAAATCCTGTCATTACAATAGGTGTGCAGGTAAGTAACAGAATAGAGAGAGAAATCAAAACATAATACAGGTTGGGGAGAAAGCAAATGTAATACGGACATACTTTTTTTGCATGTACCATGGAAAACTTGGTGGTACCGGGGAGTTTCACATGGTCTCAACATCGATGGCACGTCCAAAGACTCAAAGCCCTCTCGTACCGCTGGATGCTGTCAGCACCCACAGAGGCCAGTGTGCCACCGGCTCCGCTCTCAATGATTGTGTCCCCAGCAAGTGCATGCAAACCCTCTCCAACAACCTACAGCCCTGAGGAAACATCTGGTCTCGCAGAGGCTGGAATGTAATCTCATGAAGGGCTTTTTTTCATAGCTGAAAGCAAAAGGAAACCTTTCCCACGCCCTCCACTTCCCACTGCAGCACACTGACATACTTCGAAGGTGCAGGAAGGAAAGGACTGCGATATCTCAGTAGCTACAAACAGGACTTGCCCAGCAAAGGTCTCCTACCAGTGCCACCAGTTTGACTGCTCCTTGCCTCTCCCCTGCATCTCACTGGGGAGACGAGGTTGGGAGTGGGGAGGGAGAGGGTGACAGCGTGGGATGGAGCCTGCTCAGGGTGCTTTCGAGTGGCAGTGCCATCAGCTGTGGTTCAAACCCTAATGACCGCCCTCCCCCTTGTCCTGAAGGCTCCACACAGCACCAAGCCCAGCTGAAGCCGTGAAGGAGACCTCTGCCCAGTGCAGGGGCTTTCATTTCATAGCCAAACGCTGCTTTGGGTGGCTCACCTGGGCTATGGCCCTGAGCAGGGCTGGGAGCAAGAACTGAAGAGTGCTCCTGATTTCTTCAAAAACTCAGTAAGCAAACTCCTGCTGTCTGGACACCCTGCCTAGGGAAACTCATGCTTTTGTCTATACCTTCAGCAGCAGTTACTAAAGAGATATTGTCTAATAACTGAACTGGGAATGCAGTCAATAGGAACCTTTAAGGTCTCACCTACAGGTGCAAAAACTGCAGGAGCAGTTACAACCCTCTCGAATCACAAAACCTGGGACTCCTCAGTTAATAAACAAAAAACCTTGTTCTTAAAGTGCAGGGTCAGCTGCAAGTTGGCTTCTCTAAAGAGAAAGTTCACACTTTTCCTACAGACTATGCAGTTTGTTCCCCAGCATTAAGACTTTACTCGCTTTTCATTTTTCGCCCTCACAGCTTAAATGAATGAAGGCATCAACAAAAAACCATTCCTGTCCAGTGTAACCTTCGCTGGCTCACAGCCCCGGTGGAGATTTCACTTCTCGAGTCTACGGAGACTTTGAGTTGCTGAGGTGAACGCCTCTGCGTGCAGAGCAAGGGGGAGGTGGGACTGGTGCGGCAGGAGATGGTTGCTGGATGCCGCTGGGTTGGAGTGGGGAGAGTGACAGAGATCTGGCACTTTGGGGAGGAGAGGGAGTACGTGGGGGTGTTTCTGGATGAGTCACTGCCCTGGGGAAGTACTAGCCCCCTAAGCATATGCTCCTTCATTTTAAATTAATTAGTATTCAAAGGAGCACATCTCCTGGCTCCTCCCTCGCCACTGCCCTAGAAATCTGGAAAATGCCTCCGCCCTCAATTCACATCACCATCAAAAGGGAGTAATAAAAAATTCAAAAAGCTATAAACACAGTGATGAATTTTTAATCATCCAAAATGCAGATTAAATCATTACTTCTTCTGAATTATAAAATGTCAGTGCTCTGTGAAGGACAACCAGGTTACCCAGAGGAGAGTTCTCAGAGGATTTTGGGATGGACACGGCCCTGTGCATGGGCAGAACGCTGGCAGCTCGCGCTTAAGGCCGTGAAGAGAGGGGAGACTTACGTTCATTTTCCTTCGACATCGGGAGAGGTTGAGGAGGAGCGACACCTTCAGCTCACGGAAAGTTTTCAGGTCTTCTCCAAACCCTTCCCGGGGGAACTTTTTCAGAGCGTACTGGTAGCGCTGGGCAGCCTCCTTCACTTTACCTTTCTGATAGAAGGAGAACGTGTCAAAACGCATCCTTGGGTTGAGTCTACTTCAACACAGAGACCTCGCTCACCAGCCCAACCCAAACTCCAGGTTTCAGGTGCTCAGGGTACCACAGCTTCACTAAACTCTTTTCTAGTAAGGAAAGCCAGAACATTTGATCTGGAAACGCAGATGCGTGTGCAAGTTGAGCTCTCCCACTCTCTACAGAGTTGTCACGCTACAGCGGAACTTGTGTTAACTCCACACAACTCCATCTGGTTTCTGGGTGGATGGTCTTTTGAGCTGGGTGATCGCTAACCCATTGCTGGAGAACGCCCTACACCCAAAGCTTCGTAAGCACCAGGGAGGGCAAAGACTTTTTGGGGAGTTCCTGGGGCTCAGAGAAGCCTCTGCAATAGCAGAGATAAACACTAGGACACTGATGTGGCTCTGAAGTTGGACAAACTATATGAGATTCATCCCCCTGGACTTTGGATATCTGAAAATAAGGTGTCTACACCTAAGCCTGTCAACTGGGTTCCTTTTATAGTTATTGGGACGACTTAACAGTCACCTTCAAAGGGTGACTCATCTTTGCTATTTCGGGCACCTATTTTTGAGACGGGGTGATCTGTGCCCTGGAGGGGGGCAGCCATGGCAGCCAGGGTGAAAGAAAGAGGGCAAAGTGGGATCTAGGACACATGACGACCCAGACATAAATTTTGCAGCTACGAACAGTCAGCTTGAAAACCTTTTAGACTCAGGTTTCTCAGCTGTATCGTGTATCCCTGGCAGATAACTCCAGCTACAATGCCAGCTTCGCATATTTTCTGCTTCACCCTTAGAGCCTAGCAGTGAATCATTGTTGTACTTGCACATTTAGTATGTGTGTGCACATCTCCAGGTTTTATAGATCAGCTTAAAATAAACAGAGAGCAAAAAAGACTCCCTAAGTCTAACGGCGGAGCTGTCTCCCATGGGCCAAAGGACACGACAGAGCCATCTGCATCCTGACAATCTGTTCTCATCGCAAAAACTTTCCTCCACGAGTTGTTCTGGGATACGCTATCTCGTTGCCTTGTTCCACAGCAGCGAGCCCGCTAGGTAAGGACGAGGCTGCCAGATCTGATGAGATGACATCAGCCCTCCAAATCTCTGTAAAACACTTGGGTTCTGGTGTTTTCAAAAAGGAAATGAAGTGCTGGCTCAAATCCAGAACGCACAGGGACTTGGCTTCGCTTCAGCTTCGTTACAGATTTGGGCAATAAAGCCCCCCTTCCCCAACCCCACTAAGCAAAACCAAACAGTTTGCAACACCAGGAATGCTGCGAGTGGTAGCTCTGCCTTGCTATGTGCTAAGGCAGCAGCGCTGCTCACTCAGATCCTTACACAAAGCTACGCTGCAAGCCGCATCTGTTCAGTTTTTCCAAAACCCACTCTCCTCACCTTATAAAACATGTCTCCCTCCTCCATCAGCTTGCTCAACAGGATGATCATGATGTCTGGTTTGGAGGTTGCCATCGCCCATGTTGCTGGACCTGTAGTGTACAGGATGCATGATGGGTAAAAAACTCATACAATGCAAGGGTGGTAGGAAGCTGGGTGGAAAAAATATCCTGGGGTGGGAATTTCTGCTGGAGAGAACAACTTGGCATGGTCAAAGGGCAGAGCGCTCCAAATGACTGAGCTGACAGTTCCTCTCGCACTTAAATTAACGCCATCCCCACTGCAATGGTTTCCCGTTGCGGTCATTAAGGCCAATCCTAATCACCACCACCACCACCACGAGGGGCTGGGAGATGACGGGAGCCATTGCCACGAGAGGGCACTGCTGATTGTGGAACCAGCTGGGAGGGTGTGGGGTGGGGGGGAACAAAACAGATTTAAAAGGAAAAAA